ATAGTCTCATGTTTCAACAAATATATTGACTATTTTTCTGTTTTCAGATTCGCTGTGCTGCTAGAGGTAATTAAACCTGAGAAACCAGACCCAACTTTGTTCCTCAAAGGCAACAAGTCTATCGAGGTTCCCGCTTTGGCCAAGAGGGACTACAACATGTCTTTTAATGCATACAAAGAGGGAGAATACATTGGAAAGGTTTGGGCAAACAAGTTTATCTATGTTTGTGCGAGTATGTTTCTCTTGCCATGTGAGTATCCATATTACACTATTGCATATTTGCCTTCTATTTCAAAGGTGTAAGAAGATGAATACCCTGATGAAACAAGTACTTTACTGTAGCATTAGCAAGTCAATGTTTAGCTGAGCCAGACTTCCATGGCATTGGCACAATTTTCTAAAATAGCTAAAAGGTTTAATTTGTTGCACTTCAGCTGAAACAGTAAAACTTAGAGTGTGCAGTGCTTATTTTGGGTACCACTGCTGGAGAATTTGCACAAGTTATTAAGCAAAAGATAAAAATAAACAATATAGTGCTACAACAGAAGTAAAATACTCTATATCAATGCTCTAAAACTGTGTGAATGTTAGACTCTTCCTCATGATGACCATAACCAGCACATACGTTATAGAGTTGACCGTACCTGACATTCCTTACTGTAGACCCACTTAGGTCACAGTTGAGAAAAAGAAACAGTCCGACAGCTGCATGAATCTGGCCCTCACGCCACACTTTAATCTTTCTACTCAGGTGACATTTCGTAATGAAACAACAGGGGAGTTCTTGTTCTACATCATCAATTTTAAAGTCAGCTCTCCAGGAGTCCTGTCTACTATCAACCTGGAGACGCCTGTTCGCAGAGTGGCCTGCGGTGTTGTACATGTGGAGAACCCCTTACACAAAGCTACCAATTTTACTACAGAGTGTAAATGTATTGACATCAAGGCTCCACCTCAGCAGGTCGTTCCAGGACAGTCCAAGGTCGATACCAAAGACAAATTTCATTTTGATGAAAAAAAAAAAATCTATCTTTGTTGAATATACATGACTTGAATATGTCTGCATATGTACATCTCTTCTCCTCAGGGTTCTCTGAACTTCGAGTATCTGCCTCTTCATGTAGGCGAATCTACCGTACGTCTGACCCTGTCCAGTAATGAACTGGGCCAATTTCACTACAGTCTGCTTCTCAAAGCTGTCTCTCCACCACCAGAGGAGACAGTCTACTTCCACACTACACTGGGAAGCAGTGACTCTACTTCCATTAATTTTACTAATTACTCCCAAAGTCCAGCCAAGTACATCTGTAGGGTAAGTAACAAACATAACTCAATCTTGTTTTATAGAAATGTTTTAAAAAGATAACAATGCCAACATATTATAAGATATAAATACAATTTTATTACGAATTAACCAGTAGATTGGCTAAAAATCAAAAACTTGCTAGTTTTATTTGCTTAGTTCTTATTGGTGATTGGCAGATCAAACACTGAAATAGTTTTTGTTCTATATGTTAAATGCATTAACATTGAGAACATCATTCAAAGCAAAATGGCATATGTTTCAGTACCGGCTTCTGTCAGACAAACTGCAGCACTTTTTTTTCCATATACCCAGTGTATACCTTGAAGAAATTAGGCCAGTGACATCAGTATTAACAAATCAAACCTCAAATAAAACTTGAAATTCATATTTGCCAGGAAGGGTTTGATTTTTGTTGATAGTGTTTTTTCATCAGTAGCACATTGTTTTATTATTTGATTCTGATCCAGGTGGTGACAGTGGTAAGACTTCGTCCTGTAACTGGTGGGATGGGGACTCAAACCTCATCCGACTCATCTCTGGCTTCAACGTAGCTTACACACTATCAGTGTGTGAATGACTGAATGTAGAGACAAGCGCTCTGGAGTCCTCTGGACCAGAATTAGCGCTACATGAGTACAGGCCATTTACCATCTGTTGTTCTGTCTCTTCTACAGACTGATCGTCCTGATTTTATGGTGGACAAAAGTGTCAGTGTTTTGCCCGGTTATCCTTCAGGGTCAGAGGTGAAGGTGGAGGTTCGTTTTGAGCCACATCAACTGGGCGAGGTGAGAGGACAGCTCACCTTGAACTCAGATCTTGGTGGTGAATACAAATTTCCTTTGCACGGAGTCTGCAAGTTCCCAAGACCTCAGGGCCCGTACAACATCAAAGGGGGCAGCAGCATCGCCATCCCTTTCAAAAATGTGTTCCTGACGACCACGTCTTTCTCTTTCAAGGTACAATTTATGCAGAGCCTAACAAGATTAAAACAATAGATAGTTCCCACTATCCAGTGTATGGAAAACAATCAAAAGTTGGATTATTTTTTGCATTATTTCTTGTACAAAAAACTAAAGATTCTGAAATTTCCCATTGATGATCAACAAAATCTACCGGGAGGTTTTGTCTCCATCCAATAGCTCTACTGCTTGTCCTCTCACAGTAAAAAAAAAGGCATATTTCTGCTGTTTAATCATTCATTTGTATTGTGTGTAGTTTTGTTTCGGGACCAAACAGGCATCGTTGAGCTCCTGGCTTTTTTTTAGGCCCTGTTCAAACCAGGCACAAACATCCATCTTACCTAACCATCCATCCTTATTGTGCAATGACTTAATGCTTGCAAGACTAAGAGGGTTTACCTTGTGTTTGTGAAAATAGACATGACTGGTATACTTTGAGCAGGTCATCAGTCCACAACATCTCTGTGTATCCAGAAACATAGATGAATGGATTCTGATAGGACGAAACCTGGCTACTAGAAGTCTGATTTTGTTGATTATTTGGACATTGATAGAATATTTAATGTTTTGCTATTAATGAGGCCATTTAAAGTAAGTGTAGAAAAATATTTGCTGCTCAAACATGGTTTGCTTCTGTATTTCACCCCCATTTATTATTGATTTACAGAAACATTAGAAAACATGCTGATTGTCTTTCTTTGTTGCTCCTTGTTCTATGTCCAATTACATGTTAGTATTTAAAGACAATGGTTAAGCCTTTCAGAGAGGATTGTGACACACTGTGTCAACACTTATGATTAAAGCCATCCTCCTACATCAACTGCACACCCAGAGGTCATGTTAGTGATAAAAGGGTTCGCAGATTGTGGAAATGACCAGTTTTATTGCCACAGCTCTCAGCTTGACTTTCTTATGAGAATTTGCTCTTTGGTTCTGACAGCCATCTGGCCACTTTCTAGATTCTTGATAGGTTCTTCACTACATTTGCATATTTGACTTCAATCAACAACTTACTTTTCATTCAAGTGTGAAAATTATTTAAGTGAATGATATTTTTGTTGCTTCTAGGTTGACAACCCATGCTTTACTGTCAAAGAGATCGACAGCATAGCCTCCAAAAAGTCACAGAATATTATGGTGTCCTTTGAAATTCCTCCTGGAGGTCATCCTGGACCATGGTTTGGGACGTTGACTGTCTGCAGACAGAACCCAGAGGACCGGAGAAATTCCATTTCATGGGTATTTTACCTGAAGGGCCAGCGGCCTCAGTCTTCTTAGGGAAGCATAAAGAAAACACCCAAGCAGATAGAAAGTTCTAACTTTCTTCTTTATTTTAGCTTAGGTTATCTCTATGTTATGAGTTGGTATGTTATGAGTAGGTATGTTAGATTGTTTTGAAACTAAAAAATGAATGTTGATGCCAAAAATATAATATCTACAAGCTTTAATTACTTTTGTTTCAAAATATATTCTTCAAAAAAACTGAATAAATGTTGCAGAGAAGCTCTTCCTGTTATTGCACACTCATTTCCACATGGGGGCAATCATGTCAAGTGACTGGATTTGAATTTTGGTACTCCCTAGATTGGTTCAACAAATGTGCCTTAGTTGACTTTTCTGCTTTTTGGTCACTCCATTGGCTGAACAGCAGGACCTAATTCAACCAAATCAGTGCTGCGTTCTGTTAGACACGCAGCACATTGAAGCAAAGACAATGGAAAGGGCAGAGCTGGGGGAGTCTCTCATTACCAAAGGTTAGACGTGTCACATCAGACATGCACTACACACCAACCTCTAATGAGAAGCTGGAGTGACAGTTCAGGAGACACTGCTGTTTCCTGGATGAAGCAAAATCCTCAGATCCTCCCTTTGGGGAGAAGAACTTCCTGTTGTTGATGTTCAGAGGTAAAGTAATATTAATAAGATTGGACATTAAAACAGAGATAAATCAATCCCTTATTGTTCATTAGTTGATGCTCTTGAACAAGACCTTCAAATGAAGAGTATTACTTTTGCTTCCTCACAAGATAAAAGGATTTACTTCAGAAATGACTGAGAAAAGTATAAACCAAATAAACAACCCTCAGAAAACATGGAATCTCTAGAACTCCTTGCTAAATAAGTATAAAAATAACTAAAGCATATTTAATATAATCAACTTGCAAACTTAATGAATCCACGGGGACCATTGTAATCAATGTTTATTATCATAAGAGCAATTATCTGTTCATTTACCTTTTCCTGCATAAAACACAAGTTACTGCAATATAGTAAATGCATACATTCAGTATATTAAAACTTTATAAAATGCAACAAAATTAGTAAGGAACTTACTGTTTAACAGTAATTCTGTAAGGCAGAATTCATCAGAAGAATTGACAGCAACTCAGCGTGTCAGGCTATGTATAACTAATCTATTTAAAACACGCTTTAGTTTTTTTTTTAAATAAATTAATTTGAAATATACTTTTGATCATACCCAAATCAGTTGCAATACGCCTGTTCAAGTTATTGCTTTTTGAGATGAGACTCATAAGAGTTTACTTTAGCTTCATGGTTAGATGAAGTGATTTGTTATAACTTAAATCACCAATAAATACATTCTCCACACACACATTTGATTTGATCAAGATGTGGGATATAGCAGCTGGATGGGTGTGTTTTGGGGTGGGTGATGTAACAGGGGAAGTGTTGGGTGAGGGTTGGGGGGGCAAGAGGGGGTGGGAGCTTCTCTCTCCCCCATAGAGCGCAGCATGAGCGCTCCGCAGCAAAAGGATGTGTGAGCAGGCAGCGCGTTACTGTAGGGACGGGGTCCACAAACTGCTGAACAAAGAACAAGCCAAACTTCGAGCGCAGGAAAGCCGCGAGCAGCCGAAACCCGTAGCCGGTCAGGACAGCGAGTCCGCGACGGCAGCGCAGTCCGGAAACAGCGGCGCCCAGCCCGGTGGAATCGACGGGCTCGTCCGCTGGATCGTCACCAAAATGAGCGACAACAAGAACATCTCCAGCCGGGAGTACGCCTCCAGCAAGGAGGAGGTGGCCGTGGCTCAGGAGCAGTTCTTCGCCCCGGAGCCACGGAGAGGCATCTCTGTTATCCTGGATGTGAGTATGAAGCTGCAGGTTGGGGCGGATGGGTGGGTGGATGAAGACATCCAGAGCGCGCTGCGCACTTACGCACCGACATGTTCTCAAGGCAGTGCCAGTTTGTTTTCAGCCTGCATCCTTTTACTCAGTCACCCGAATAACCAAACAGTTTCAGATGATTTAGCCTTCAACCCAACGAAGAAACAACTAATGGCAGACACTTTTGTCAAAGCAGCGACCATCAATGTTTGTTTTAACCTTTAGTTGTTGAACATGTTCTCCGCGCAGGAGTACCACCGGTGAACTTATCAATACAGCTTCATTAATTTTTTCTTATTCCATTTTTTTTTAAAAAATCCTCTGGAACTATGTGCAGCGTAAACCTGCAAGGAAGACGCAGGAAAACTTTATGGTTCATAGCTGGTTAAAGTCAACAGTCGGTGTATTTTTGTCCCTTTAAAAACGTATGACATAAAATGTGGTAAGAAGTAAAATAAAGCATTCCATTACAAGATTGAAAAAATCGAAAAAGAAAAAAAAATCAGTGAAGGAAAAACCTTGCTAAGAAAGCCTCCATCAATGATGTGGAAAAAGAGGAACTTTTGGAAGATTGACAGAACCATTGCACAAACTGCTTGCAAATATTTTTTGGCCCACTTTTTTGAAAGCTATGCAGTGCTCTCGCAATTAACAGTTTTCCTGCAGAACAGTTTTCCTGCAGTTGTGCAGAGCACAAGTAAAATTCTTCCATTGAATAATTTGTTTCTTAACCTTTAAATACTTTTATCAGTTGCCTTATGTGACGTCATCAGAGGCATATGCACAAAATGCCTTGGTTTTCTGGGGTTTTAAAAGTAAATGTTCATGTTTTCCACCTGAACATGACATAAACTTCAGTAAATAACCGTGGTTCTTCAAACAATGCTGTTTACCTCCTTAACATTTATTACTTGTGGTGAACAAGCCAGATACCGCAGCTTTATTTCCAATTTTTAATAATGTATTTATTCAATATTTAGTTTAATTTCATTGATCTGAGCATGGCAGCTGCTGACAGTCAGTTTGAAGTCATTCTGACATTTATTCTCCAGTTTTCTGCATTACCTTTATTTCCAAAATGCTAATTGTTCTGCCATTTTCCTATACTATTGACCCCCAACATTATTATCACGGTAAAGACACTAAAGTGGTTTCCTGGTGGGTCTGTTTGCTCACAGCTTCATGCAGCATTTCTCCTCATTAAACCTGCTTCTCTGGTTGCTGTTTCCTGCTGCATTTATCCTTAATTTTCTTCTTAACCCTTTGTACCTTTCTTACTGTTTCTCAAATTCCTTTCATCTTTTCCCCCTCTCCTCACTTCCAGTCATCCCTCTCTCATCAGAAGCATTCGTTATTAATAAGGTTAGAAGATGCATCACTTTCCCTTCTGCTTTCCTTCTGCTGCTGTCTCCAATTTCTTCATTTGTTCTGTCTTTTTCTGCAGTTTTTCCTGTGTTTCTGTTGTAACTTTTCACAAACACATGCCACCTCCTCACTACAACACTTTTCTCACTCTATCCAAAGCCTCTCTGCCTGTAAACAGCTCCAGATATGACTGCTTTCTGTGGAGCTGGGTGCAGCCAGGCAGCAGAACAATGCAGAACAGCTTGTCGTTTGGAGTGTGGCTCTGCTCAGTGGCAAGAAGCTGCCTCTTAATTTTAGAAATACTAATCGTGCAATGCCAAAGTGTCATAATTAGCTCCTCTGTAATAATGGCACAAAATATAAACTCTAGTTGTTGATGTTTTGGTTCAGAAAATAGTTTTCTAGTGTTTTGTAAAGTCTGTCATGAGAGTGGTGAGAGTATTTAATTTACTTGAGGAAGATACGAGTCCTGAGTGTGTGTATTGGTGACTTGTCTTTGTGTTGCCCTGATGGACTATTCAGGTAATACCCCTCCTTAGACCATTCATCCTGCATGGATGAATGGTCTAAGGAGGACCACTCATCCATGGATCTGACTCAAAGTATATATAAACTTAAATTTATAAGGAACAGTGTCTTTTATTCATTTGACAAAGATCAAAACATTTTAATATGTGAAATTTTATCCTAATCTACCACTAAATCCCAATAATTTGGGAATGTAGCTTGAATCATCAAATATTCTGCACTAACAATACATTTTTATATTCCAACATTTAAACCACATGGCTCAGTAGTAGAGCACCAGGCAACACAGTGGGAGAAATCTTTGGCTGAAGCTATAAATTAGCTTAATGTGGTGCAACACCCGCACACAGTACATAATCAGTCAGCTGTGGGTCAGTGAATTTGTTTGTTGAGTGTTTCATGCTCACGAACTTCAAGTCTTAAGAGTTTCTCATATGCTAATAAACAGCTGTTTCCTTTCAGGCCTTCTGTTAGAGTCAAATAAAACAAAACAAACAAAATAAACACTAATTGGTTGATTGACAACCTGTCTTCTTATTGGCTTGATTTCCACTCAGTAGATTTCAAGTTTTCCTTTAACATTGCAATAAAAAGGATTTCCTCTTGGGTGGCTTTCAACCTAACAACAGTTGCCTGTATTTTACTTACTGATTAGCATCTGATTAGTAAGTTGAGTGGAGTTGAGACATTAACTTCAATAGACCCCTGAAGTCATGTTGAACTGAATGACACTAATGTCAGGAGAATAAAGTTCTCTAGGATATCAGATGCTACTGCAGTAGCATTTTGCTGCTGTTTTGGTTGCAAAATGCTGATCAACAATTAACACAGTTAATTTAAAGAAATACATTACTTCCAAGGAAAGTTAAATTATTACCCAGGGGATCAGAGGGATGTGAATTGTGTATTTGCTGTTTTGCATTTTTTTTTGAGTATTCACTGCAAAAAATGGTTTAAAATTGATGTGTTTACAATATTAACCAGAGTTTTCTCTTACACCAATTTTCCTCTCTTATCTTCTGTCTACAGATATTCAGAAGAGCCGACAAAGATGGTAAGTAAAATTGTAAACTAGTAATTTATTTTTGTCAGCTTAAAAAAAAACAAAAAACATACACTTGCCAATGTTGGATTGTGATGGTTTTCTATTTAAAGTTAAGAAATGCAATTCCAAATGTATTTGAATTTTGTTTTTCACATATTTTAGAAATGTCCCCAAGCAACAAAATTGAATGAAAACTCAAATTATATTTTATAAATGCAAACATTTCTAAAATATTTTATTAAGAAGTGGTTTAAATGATTAGAAGATCAATGGCTATCTTATCGTCAAGACTAAGACTTATTGCAGTTTTTTATGCAGTTTTATTTACTTGCTTTCAGTATTGGCCATGCTTACAAGCAATCACATTCACAGCAGGGGAAGTAACTAAACTGCAGTAGAGAGTAACAGTTAGTGTGTGACAGTCCACAGAGAAGATCACAATTTTTCACAAATTGTTTCAAATTATACTGAAAGGACATAGTGAGAGTTTCAATAAGTATATCAAAAACATCTTTTAAAAAAGGTCACCTACTGGAGTTTAACAAAAAACTTGCTTACCAAGTAAAGGTTGATGCATCTTTCAGATGATTGGTGGATTATTTTCTATTCTCTTTAAGACTGGTTTTTACACTTTTGTTTTCTCCTCCGTTTATTTCACATACTATTTGAGAAACAGGATGCAAACTGATTTTAAAAAAAGCATCTAAGCTTAAAAGAAAACCATATTTCTGAGATTGTCAATAAAGAATAGCTTATAAAAACTGACAGAATGCCTGGCTTTTTTTTTGACAAAGCAAAGCGTGAGGGAAATGGGTTTTGCTTCAGTTCTGTCATGTGAGTTTTGGTCAGTGAAAACTGTCTGCTGGGGGAGCTGCTGCAGCATCATCCCTTCATTTATCTTTGCATCCTGGGACTCTGGAGGGTTTTCAGAGAGTGTTTTTGTACAGTTTTGCCAGCAAGCAGCTTGTTCATATCCTTTGGCATGTGATAGTGTCTTTTCTTTTCCTGCCCATCCTGCTTTTATCCCTTTTTTCAATCTCTTCTTTCTTGTTCTTCTATTCACTAAACTCCATAAAAAGCATTTTATTGCAAGCAGATGGTCACTTATTCTTTAAATACGTGTTTGTTTTTGCAAGTGTGGACGGAATTCTTTCTTTTTGCTGCATAGATCCCCAAGATTTATCTCTAAATAACATATCTGTGTCCAACCATGAGGGTATAATTGGTTGTAGTTATCTGTCTTTGTGGAAGCACGCTGCTGAAGTTCAGCAAACAAAAATTATTCCCCCAACCTTTTGTCATCCTTGCTGTGGATGGCGCTCCCATCTCGCCGGGGGTTTGATGTGATTGTGCTTCTGCATCTCCAACTGACAACATTTTAAATGCCTGCACCTAATTACCAACTTCTCTGATACAGAACGTTAGTCAGGACACATTTTCAATCCCGCTGATCACATTTTCTGAGAGCCGGCCTCTTGCATAAGGAGCTCTCACAAACAAGCTGTCGGGTTGTGTGAGACTTTTTGACAACAGCCTCTTGGGGTGTTTCAGCAACTCAGTTCCAGGTGAAAAAAATGTCTTTAAAAAGGCAGATGAAAATGTGTGTTAGGGAGGAATTTCTGTAGCATCAGATAGCAGAAGAGCCTTGGTGAGATGCGATGATGGTTATTATGGGGAAAAGCTGTTATTTGACGCATAGTATGCAGGCTGGAGGGGGGGATCAGTGAACTTGAGCTGAGGAAGAGCTATTTTTACCCTTGTGCTCTTCTCTCCTGGGTGAGGACCGGGGAACTGTTTTAATGAGAGAGTGAGGGAAGGAAGACGCTAACAGGGAGAGGAGAGTTTGTTCAAAAAAGAGAGAGTTGTAGGGGTAAGATGGTGAGGTTAGTAAGAGAAGAGGAGCAGAGATAAAGATGAGCGAGGGAGTAAGAGCCAGTATCATATGTCGGGGTGAGGATTCAGGTGCACTTGATCAAAGTCTGGCTTCACATTTACTCTGCGTATCTCTAGGCTGCTGAAACTGCAAACCGAGGCGTGTGTGTGCATATTCATGTTGATCAGAAATACAACCAGCAAATATGATATGCCGTTATGGTTTAAGTGCTCAATGTTGCTTGGTTGCAGACTTATGCACTGTCTTGTACGTCTGCAGCGTTCGTCTGGCACACATTTTTATGCAGCTGGTGGAGTTTTTATGTAACCACTCAGTCTTTGAAATAGTTGCATCATTTTACAGCATTGTAGTTCACAGTACGAACAAGTGGCAGCAGCTGCAACAACAACACGTTTTCTGTAATCGCTGACATCATCTTCACATTAGGTTATACATTCTACTTTTCTTTTATTTTTTACGTTTTGTAAATTACTTAATTACAACTTTGTGACTCTAGAATGAAATTTTATGTTAGTTGATGCTTTTTTAAGCTGAAGTACTAGCCTGTTTTAGTTTATTGCAGTATGTAACAGTGTTTTATTTCTTTATGAGATTGTTTTTTAAAATATTTTATCATTTCATTTGCAGGGAGTCTTGCGATGCACACATCATTGTGACTGATTAGATGTCTGAATGTTTCAAGGACACACTAAACACTATTTATCCATCAAGACTTTGATATTAAGGGATTCCACTAAGGGGAAAATGAAAGATGGATAAAGTTCATCCTTGAGGTTTTGGTTTGTGTTCAACGTCTGCCTAAATGTCAATTCAGTTAACTTCTTTGGAAAATCTGGAAATTAAAATGCAAATGAGCACATCAAAATACTTATCTAAATGTTAAAAAAAGGGGCATGGTAAAATATTTAATTGCAAGAAATGACAGATTAAATGTCAAATGTGTTGTGGCGTCTGCTTCATATTTAGAAAAAAAATATTTCCTAAAATGTTCTTTTTTCTGTCTTTAAGTAGAAATGTTTACCCAAGTTAAGCATTTAGACACTAAATCTGTCTAAAAGTTGTTGATGGGGAAACTTTTGCCTAATTTAATACCATAAAATGATTTTTATTGCTTCTAGTTCATTTCCTCTTCTGGAAGTCCAACTGCTGTAAAAAAAAAAAAAAAGGAAAAAAGTCCTTTAAGAGTGTAAAAGAAGTGCTCTAAAATTATTTCTCCAAACTGTATGATAATAATAAAACCAACTTCCTGTTGTCTGTGTCAGCTGAAAGCAGTCTGACAAGACAATCAATAAAAACACCTGTGAAGATGTATCATTCCTATCTGGTCCAGTTCAGCGGCAAACCTGATATCATTATTTATGCACATTTAATATTTTTTTAAGCTGCTATCCTCTCATTTGTGTATTTCATCCATCTGCTAATTATCACCTCAGTGTGTGACATAAAGACAGAAGGCCAGCTGACTTGAGGGATGCCTGTTTGCTCCTGCTTGTCGACACAGAATTACAGCATGACACCATAAAGCAAACCTGCAGCTGCTCTGGCTCTGCGTCGCCTCGCAGTTACATGAATGAAACTTACCATCTTCCTTTGGTTTTCATTTTTGGATGATTTGTGCTTCACAGATTTGAATTTCTTCATGGTCTGGTTCATTGTATCTCGCTGAAACAGTCTCAAGCTGCATTCACACCAGCCCTGTTGGACCGCTTTAAAATAACCCCAATTTGTTTGTCTAGAAAGTCTGTTATTTGTTCGGGGAGGTTTGAATGCACAGGCGAACTCTGGTCCACTTAAAAACCAAGGTCTCGATTTGGTTGAAGTCAACTCTGGGGCGGTTCAAATGCGTGTATGGATGCAAGTTAGTCATCAGTACTCATTCTGTGGGTTTTGTATGACGTGCTGAGTTATGCTGCATTCAAGTTACCTCGGAAATCAGAACTCTGAGTTGGGTTTGACGTCACACCTGAAATAGCATTCCAGTCAACATTGACGATTTCAACATGACATCGCTCATGGACCTTGTTCTCAGTACCTCTTTTTAAGCTCTAGTTTCATAGATAAAATCCAATTTTCATTTGTACAGTTCATAGGAGCTAACAATGAACTTAGACACATTCTTGCATGCATGTCTTAAAAACAAACATACTCCACCACATCTTATTGTTAATGCCAGGAGCGGCCATATTGAAACGGAAAATCAACCCAGCAAGTCATAACCGGGGGAAGCAGGGGAGCAGGAGGTGTTCAGTGTTTCCACACATTTTTAACTCTAGATTTTTTTTTTTCCTTTCTAAACAATTTTGTTTTTGTTGGTGTTCTTTTAATTTGTTTGTATAAAAGCTTCCTAAAGTAGGAATCACCTCTTGAGCTGATAACTTGGCTTGTTTGTGAAATGGAAACATTTGCATTTGGCTGCATTTCTGTAGAAATGCAAATACCTCCTCTTTGTTTCTTATAAATTTGGAAGATGATCACTTCATTTAAAAACAAATGAGCATTTACTTAATCTCGAGTGAAGCTTCAGTCCTAAAACAAATGTTACTATAGAGTGACTTTACACTCTTGTTTTCTCTAAATGATGATGATGAGGAGAACACAAGAAAATAAAGAAACTTAATTTCTTTTCTGAGATGTTTACTGCTACAAGTCTCCCTCTTTGTCAGAAAAGGCTTAAAATTGATATGTTTGATTTAGTTTGAATGACAGTAAACATAACGTACAATCATCAGTAACCTTCTTAGTAACGTTGGAAGTTTTTATTCTTCTGTGGTTTAAAGGAACGCTACCAAGAACTGTTATTTCATAAAAAGATTTCTAACCATACGACTTATAAAGTAGCCACAATGGATGCAGCACCCAACAGAATGTGGGTGTGACTGCAGGCACAATGATAACCTTCAAACAGACGAAAATAGTCGCAGAGGTGAAGAGACTCAAGCAACAGAAGCTGCAGTGATGCAACAGTCTCTGCAGAATTTGAAGAGGCAAGACTTGAAATACACCAAGTGGAAGGAAGCAAAGGTTTGAGTGAACAGTGACCGGTGGTGTAAGGGTGAAGCCGGGGCAGACTGCTGACGGGTTTCAAATGTTTGGTTTATTCAACATAACAAGGCTG